GATTATTTTACTTCCTTTTTTACGCTTATTAAAATGTTGTGTATATTTCACTACAGCTCATAAATATGAAACTTTAATTTGACCTACATGCTTTTCTTAAGCAATTACGAAGAGAAGCAACAAAATCTCTCTCCAGAACAGCAGTTATATCCTATAATTTAACGCGTTTTCATGCTTTAATAATGCTAATATTTTTTTTTTGTCTCAAACTGTTTGGTGATCAAAATAATTATTTGAATCAAGTGAAAGTTTGTTTAAGAAAAAGACATATTTAAATTGTTCATTAATGAATCTGATGATTCATCAAAGTATTTAAAAATGAAGCCCTGCATCAACTCATATTCCTGATTAATTTTGAGCAGCGTTCATCTCATAGCGAAGAAACTGACTGAAGTTACCAACTATCTGTATTAAGAATTATAAATATAGGCAAATTTGTTATGGAGTAGTATTTCCTCTTCATAAATTTTACGTAATTCATCATAGTCAGTTTCAGCCAATTTAATTTATCCTGTTCAAAATTAAGTTATTAAAATTATTACTTAATTTATTGTAAAAGTCATTATTTAGTGCTTAAACACTACTGAAAGCAAAGAGAAAATTGAGAATCCAAAATAATCAACATTAAATTCTTCCAGTAAAATAGTCAAACAAATATAGATTACTCTACCAAAATTACCCAACTTCTTTGTTGTTTTTTTCTATAGAATCAAGCTAAATTCATTTTGATCTGCACATATATCCCTGCGATATTTAAGTGTCAGTAAGCAATGCTTGTTAGTTTTGGGAATTTAAGCTGAATAGTGAATACCGTGCGTTCCGTGACCAGTAAGAAGTAAAGAAATGTGTGTTTCCAAATTCGCTATTTGCTGTTGTGTTCGTCATCATAATAGTACAACAGAGTGTATTGTCAGAAGTGAATATGCGGCATCATTTCAGATGATGCCGCATATGTACTTCTGATAATGATATTGATTTTATGTTTTTCCACGAACATCCTTCAATTCCACATAAAGTATCCCTTCCAGTTTATCATATTGTGAGAATTATGTTAATTTTATTAACAGTTAAATTTTAAGTTAAAGTTCCTTTCCTGTCAAATTCTTAACTTCAACTTACTACTTCCGGCCAGAACGTAGTTTAGGAATTTGCTGAATATTTAATGAGAAGGAGCGGTATTTAAACCACGAAGTTACTTACTGAGACAGATAGAGAAACAGAGTTTCTGAACTACGCGCGTCTGCCTTTTTGGCCTTTTTCTCTCTTCTCAAAAGCTGTTATACGCTCGGCCGTACTCAGGCCCTTGCTAAGCTTCGTAGTAAAATAGGTTAAGGGGCCAACTCTCATTGTACCTTGATAGCTTTGGCTATACTTAGTTAGTTAATCTTAGTTTTAGTTTAATTCTTAGTCTTTTAAGTTCAAGTCCAAAGTGCGGACTTTATTTGTTCACTCCCAGGCGGAGTTTTGTGAAATGTTATAGAAATAATAAAGGGTTATTTACCCTTCTCTCTTGTTGTTTCCTGTCTTCGAACTCTAGCGATTATTCGCTTATCAGTTCCTAGGTTCCTCACTTCCAACATTAACTTAGAATTTCAAGTGAAGGACCTTACAATCTAAAGTCAATCTAACATATTCTCATTCATGATTGTATGTGCTTCGTATAAGTGCAGAGGAGTCTTAAATGCAAATTTGAGACGCTTTGAATTATCTCATAATAGATTATTTTTACGAAAGTTTGTTGAGAGCTTCAAGTAAAGTCTCACTTCTGTTTTATCAAGTTTAGTCAAAATCTAGTATGTTGTTCCCATTTATATAAAAATTTTAAATGCTAAAATCGAAAAACTCTTGGTTAAATACTAAAATAGTTTTTCGTTAAAGATTCTTATGCGTTTCAAGTAAAGTACCACTTCAGGTTGCCCATTAAAAAACTGCTGTAGGCGACAAGAAATGCATCACTTCCATTTATCCAATTTTGCGCAAAATCTAATCAAATCCTTGTATGAATGCAGAAAGTAGAAATTTTCGAAGTTTGCTATAAGAGCTATCGTGGATGAAAAATTCGTCATACACATATATACACATATAGACAAACATCATTACAAAAATAGTAAAAGCGTGTTATAGGGATCTTAATTTGTGCTAATTCACTGAAAAATCGCAACTGAATATTTCGAACAGAAACATGGCCTCTCTTATTTATATACATAGGTTAGCGAGTGGTTAAAAACAATAAAGTTAAAAATAAGTAAAACGAAATAAAACTGGTGAATTTTCATAGTATTTTTGCAATGTAGAAATTTCTGTGCTATGTTGCCCTTTGCAGTATTCTAATGAGAACAAACTGTGACCAAAGGAACTAAAATAGTTTTACTGTAATGACTACTGTGTTATATTCAAGTTCCATGCAAACAGATATGCAGCTTAGTCTATTGAAAAATTTTAGTTCAGATTCTGTTGAAAAAATTCATGTGTAAGTAGCATCCGTTGCATAAATGAGATTTAGTTTTGATGCTCTATGACTAGTTTTTAGTTCTTGACATGACCATCTGGTCTGACACTAGATATCAATAGAAACTGCAGCGATAAGTAGCCATAAAATTTCATATCTAAAGTACGATAGTAAAACTTTTTCAACACTTTTCACACGTTGCTCACGTTCTCGTGATAACCTCATTCCTACCCCCCTCGAAAGAAATTCTTTGGTTTTCCGCGGGCAAATTTCAACCAATAGAAGACAAGATGAGTTGTTTATTGTCACTAGCATAGAGAGTTCAGAACTTTCTGCAATAAAGAACGCTTGCTATTGGCGGAAATAAAAATATTACATTGAATGGGGTTCAAAAGATAACCTTTCCCATACTGAGAAATGCTTTCATCCTGCCACACAGAAACTTGCTCAAAGTATAACAAAGCCTTGAGAAAATATTTTTCCTTTTTGCACATAACTATCGTTGAAGGATACCTGAAATTTATAGCGAGCATTGTTAACCACGAAAATTCAGTTGATTTTGGAGTATAATTTTATTAAAAATCAAATTTGAGTTCTTAAGAGTATGTTCAAAGACTCATTTATTTCAGTTATTAGAAGAGATTATAAAGCTGTAATAACTCTCTAATAAAATTATTTTTGGAGAACACATGTATAAAATATTAATATTAAAAGAAGGTATAATATTAACAGAGAGGTAAAATTCATCTGATGATAAAATTATTATTTTGTTTAGAGAAAATAGTGCATTTTTTTTTTCCTGATCTTGTTACTAACACTTAAACAAATGTAACAGAACTGCCCTGTTTGAAGAATTAACGCCATTAAATTTTCTAGCGTAGCGAAAATAACATCACTATGAATTTGCTAAGATTTTGTGCTTAAAATTCTAGCTAAATGTGGACAAGATTAAAATTCAAAATTCGCTAATAAAAGGAATTCATTTCTTTAAACATGCCCATCAGCCATTAGTTCAATGGAAATTATTCCTTTCATGAGGAACTTGCTCATGAAAGGAATAATCAGATGCTACTTGTCATCTGCTTTGCCAGATTGAAAATAAAAGGAATTTTCGATACTTATTGTTTCTTTAGCTTCTATAATTTGTATGGAAAAAATAGCTTAAGCTTAAAATCTAAGAGCATCTTGTTCGTATGTTTTCTGTAAGTACCGATGTCGAATTACCCAACTGTTAATACATTTAAACACATTTATAGTAATTCCGGAAATGCAAAAATGATAAAAAAAGAGCATGTATATTTGTAATTTCCATTTGTTTTCATTAGTCAAACATAAAATAACTGATATGGCATTTTTCTTTGCGATGGAGAATTGTATAACCGTATAAAATTTGCTTACATGATAACAACATAAAGGATTTAAATGTTCACATGGATAATTTTTACTTCCTTTACATTCTCCTAGTTACAAGAAGAATTTGAGTCAGCTATTTTTAAATGCCCGTCGAATTTTATTTTTTCCCTAATTTTCATATTATAATTAGTTTAAATAAAATAATCATTTTTATTAAAAATATTATGTATGAATCTTAAAAGAGCTTTACGAACATTCTTGCTATTCAGTGAATTTCATCTCAGTAAAATTAGAGGCGGTGAGTTCATAAATTCAACAAGTACAAAACCTGCATCTTTCAAATATCGCAAAAGTAGTGCATGGACATAGACTACTTTTGCATACACTACTAATAAATTTCTGATAATCTTACTGAATCTATGTTATATTTTAGTATTAACTATTAAATGATTATTTTTGTAAGTGGAATGAACATAAATTCGTTCAAGAAATAATTTAAAATGGAGAATACTATGCTGAATTTTTTTCTTTTCTTTGAACTCGGTACTGTACAACATCCAAGAGATTACATGATAAATGCAAAGCCGGTGAAACATAAGTTGCTTATAAATAGACTAAAACGATTTTTGGTCATATCTTTATACGGATAATTAAAGAAATAAAGAAATCTTATTTGAAAGAATTGAGATGGCTCTTTCAATTTTCAAATTTTTAAAATTTCTTCAGAGCTCAAAATTTATATAAAGTAAATCAAAGCAAATAAAATGTAATAAGTAAATCAATGTAAAATTGTATTGATAGAAAGAAAAAATTGCTGTTTCGAGTAAAATGCACTGTTAACAGAAATAAAAGCTCTGTATTAAGCTCGTAACCTGTAAATAATGCTTTATTTCTAATTTCTAATTTCTATTTAATTGCTTATCGGTTTTATGTTCCTTAAAACAACCTAATCCGATATAAACTAAAGTTTTGAGTAAATTCTGAAATTCCATAATAAATTTCTGATAATCTTACTGAATCTATGTTATATTTTAGTATTAACTATTAAATGATTATTTTTGTAAGTGATCGAAGAGTTGTGAATCTGGTTAATCTATCTGCTTGAGGATTACTATATAAGCACATAAATTTGCTCTTCTATATTTGATGAACGAGGCATTTAATTAATAACTTCCTATCTTCTTTTTTTTTCTTTCAGACAAAAATTTGAAATTTAAGAAGAAAATTTTTTATCTTGTGTATTGTGAAAGATGATAATCAAGCGGAGCTTTTCTTCTTTAATTTTACTCGCGGAAGTTTGACCAAGACATTTTCACAGGTAAATAATGCAAATACTTTTCATGCCTTTTATTACCGTCAACTGTCTAATGCTTGTGAGAGTGTTTTTTACTATATCTGAATAGTAGTTTTCATGTTCGTCTTTCTTCATTTCGCATTCAAATGCTACGTTAGTATTCAGTAATCTTCTTTTCTATCTTTATAACTTAACTATTCAGCATACATACGATCCAAATTTATGCTATTTCCAGTACTTAAATACAATTTTACTCGCATTAACATGTGTATGTGATCTTCTTTCAAACGGTTTCTTCGTTTATATTTTTATTGAATTCATTTAACCAAAACCTTGCTCACAGGCAACACTAGATGCCAAAAATGTTCCGTCATCGTTTTGTAATGAAAACATTACCATATTTGAAGAATTTGTTATTATTTCATATTTAATTTTTTCATACATGACAAAGTCATTGCATTGTTATAGTACAGCTATTTTATCTGTTAATATGTTATTATATTTTACGCATAATTTTTCGATTACTTCTGTGCCATAATGGAAATCAAAAGCACTTAATTCCGTCAAATTAAGCGCTGCGCATCCCCGTACTTTATTTTCAGGAAATCTTTATTCTAAATGAGAGTAAAGCAAATTTATAAAAGTTAGCATATATTCAGTGTCAGTTTCAATGTTTTCTTTTTTTGGCTTTAAGGAGAAGAATTTTCAATTACTCCAGGCAATGTTGCTCTGATTAATGTACTGTTAGTTCAGTTTTCTTATTTTGCCATGAAAAACGCGAAATGCTTCAAGTGGTACTAGGTCGCGCTGCTGAATAGTTTTACACAGTGCTTCAAGTTCTTCAAAACGTTATTCATAATATGTAAATTCATATTAAATTCAGAATTTTCCAAAATTTCTGTGTGCAATATTTTGAAGTATAACTACTTGTTTCATCTTTTTTAAAATGTTTAATTAACGCTTCGTAATTTTTAACAATTGCTTTCAGTGAAAAATGCGTAAATAATTTGTAATCAACTTAAATTCATTTAATGGTTTAAAAGAAATAGTTTCATTTTCTGCAGTCATATTGCAAAATAGGTGAAATATTTATAAAAAATAACTCTGAAAAATAAAACGTAATTTGATGACTGAAATTTTGACTTTAACTCGAGAAAACTTATTAGTTGTAGCATCAGCATGCAAATGAAACAAATAGCGCTGAAAAAAATAGTTTAAGCAAGAATTTGAACTAAACGCATCACTATTGCTTTGTGTTTTGCAGACTGTAATATATTTCAAATTTTAATGCATTAATACTGCGCCAAAGTTTTTGCGAAAGCACATTTCAGAGTAGACTAGCGGGAATTATAAGCAGAAATATTTAATATCTGGTGGCAAGCATCAATTTAAGAAATTGAAAAAAATATCTATTTTACAGAATAAAATGTAGAAAGAAAAAGTAAAACTTCTAGTAAGTGATATTTCTTGCTTTACATCCGCGAGTCTGCGAAGCCTTTGTCCTCTACATAATTTTTGTATTAATACCTCATTCAGAATTTACAAAATGGCTTATCAGGTTATGCATCACTTCTATTGCTATGCGTAATTTTTAAGCATGTTTAAATTTATGGTTTGAAATCTTCATGTACTAAAGGAACATAATGCAGCATGGATGGAATATCAAAACATTGCACAAGCAAATTACAATTATTCCTCGTTTTTACATAAAAGTGAAAAACGTAATAGTTAGAAGAAAGAGGCAGTGAAATTTCTGAATTCATAAACTCGTAGTGTAGTAAAAAGCTTCATTGAAAATTATTTTGCTGCCGTACATTATTTAGTTTACACAAAGTTCTCGATTTATTGTTTCGCCCGACAAATTCCGTAACCGACGTGGGAGTGGTGATAGAGCACCAGGATGCCTGGGCCGAAGGTCCTACCGCTGATCGAACAAGAAATTGTGTTTTTCTTAATCATGTCAAAAGTAAACAGATAAAAAATTTGAATCATAATGAATTTTGATAAACGAATCGAGTTCAATAAGTTAGCCTAAACTTAATCCAAAAGGTATAGAATCGTGAGAATTTGTACTAAACTGGGTAAGTATTAACAAAATGTGCTCGTTCCAATTTTGATAGACAGTTAAATCAAGCATCTGGTAAACCGTTCAAGCTAATGACAGAAAGTGCTGGTTTCGCCCGACAAAAATCATGTATTATTAATACTTCTCTCGTGAAACATAGTATTAATGTAAAAACTGTATGATGATCAATCACTTGTTTAATTGAAGAGAAACACGACAATGTAAAATTTTAAATTGGGGGTGGGGAAGGAGTCTTTAGATTGGCGTAGCAGATGTTACTTAATGTTCTGGAATACGAAATTCGGGCATTACATTAAATCTCAGTCAGTCCAACTAGTACGCCTAGTATGCTAGTTGTTCGTTATAAAATGCTAAAATAATGCTTACAGAAACATAGTTTACATAGAGAATATAGTTATAATAAAGTTTACATACAGAATATAGTTATAATGAGAAATATTGGTAGAAAATGCTTTATTAATAGTCACTGCTTAGGAATTTCTAATCATCTTTACTTTTGCTAAAAAAATCAAAATTCGAAACTATTACATCGAGTAATAAATGAGCTTCCCTACGGCATGTAAGAGGAATTATGTAATTCCTGCGTACTGTAAATACACAATCTAAGAAACAAGTAAGTAAAGGCGGGGATATACTTGATTTACAGTAAAGGTTTTTTCTTTTTTTAAATTTAATATCGATAAGTAACATTTAGATTGTTACATATAAGGTATATAAATGCATATGCAAAGACAGAAGTAAATTTAAAGCTCTTTTTTGATAAATCACAGGCGTGAATTAATAGTTCGAATTAACGGTGCAACTTGAAGAATTTAATTACGTTCAAAGAAAAGTAAAATCTTTGCTAATATATTTGCAGTTACAAAGTTTAAAATGTGAGTTTGAAACTGATACATGTAAAATATTTGTCCCTATAAATATTAAAAACTACATTTCAGCCTCTAGTCTGTAATAAGCATTATAACATATATGATTAAAATTAACTATGAATGGTGTGTTTGCGACTTAGTTTCACATAAAAATATGACCTTCCTCTTCCTGTAGTCTTTAGTTGCATTTCCAAAGAATTCATTTTTAGTATAAAAATTTAGTTTTTAGTGAACAGCGAAATGTAATTTTAATTGGTAGCAGTATTAAAGCTATATTTTGCTTAAACCACTATTTAAACATGATCTAAGTGGTCCCTTTTTATTAAAATTTTCTAAACCATCTTTCGAATATAAATGTAATCGTGAAAAATACCCTGACGATGTTGCGGTAATTTTACACTATAAAAGAAGTTATGGTCGTTACACTATAACGATAAGAATAAGTTATATATAAAAGTTTCTGTAATTTAATGAAAGTTTGAGATGTCAGCTGATTAATTTATTTATTCCTTTACTTTGTTAATTTTGTGAGAGGTAGCAAGTATTAAAAGAAGAATTCAATTCAAATTTTTACAGAATAAAACTTTTAGTTTTTAAAATCAGCACTAAAACTGAAATTCGTTTCAAGTCTCACAAATATGTTTAATTACTGATCCTATATTTTGGGTACTATATCAAGACAAAATTACCCAGACTTTTTCATTTTTCTTATAATTTGTTATTGTTGTGTTTTGTATCATTATTTCAATTTCTTTACAAGAAATATTTCACAACACAAATGTTTGACTATTCGGTTTATACTGCCATTAATTTTCCTAATACTAGCAAAAAACTGAAATTATTACTTATGTGAAGTCAATTTAGTTAGAATATATTTCTCATGCGAAGTACTAATAAACTATACTAAGAAATAATTTCATTTCACAGAGTAAAAATTTAACTTCTGGAAAAATGAAACGCGCTCTTGCGGTGTAATAGTTTTTATCTTGAGTTTTCATAGAATTATATTTTATTTTCATTTTTTTATTAAAATTTGTATAACAATAAAACCCAAATTTTCATAAATACATGTGTGTAATCCAGAAATTTTAAGCGATTCCTGAGTAGCAATAGTGTTTATCTAAACATATTATGATCAGTTAATAACCTGATACTTTCGGAAAGATACAAAGGCCATGTTTCAAAGAATTTTAATACTATTATTAATATTATATTTGTCGGTTTTAATTACTAAACACAAATATTCAGATGAGAAAGTCAGGGACGAAATTTCGTTTAAAGAAAGTAAAAAATATATAAAATACACACATACCTGTCTACTAACAGTCAAAAAAGCTTATTTGCTATTTAATAGAAATTAATCGACAGTATTTAGTGGTACTGAGGAGGCGTAGCTAAATAATACTTTCCATTATTTCAATAGGTTTAATCGGTTTAAAATATATAATCCTTGCTTCAAAGTCTATTGATTATTATATTCTAAATATATACAAGTATCTTAAATTACTACCAACCAGATTTTAAGCGCAAAAATAAAGCTTACCATGGCGGATGTTTCAAGTGCCGCTAATCCAGGTAAATTTAATTATCAATCAGCAATTTTTGAAACTGAAATTTTGCTAATATTCCTTCGTATCTAGTCAAACGAATTTAGAATATGCATCATCACGAAAATCCCGTTTCTGTGCGAGGTAATAAATGAGTAAATATGGCGTCTGTCCGTCATTGGAAGCCATTGGTCAAAGCCACGAATCATCGGCCGACATCGCAGCCAAGATCTTTCCAGGGATGGAGACACACAAACTTCCGAAATTTCCCAGAAGCAAAGCTTTGGGGAAGATTTGTTGTTTGAATGGAACGTCGTTGGCATGCTCATTGTTCGGAATACTTATTTGCTTTTTACTATTTTCAACCTAGCCCCACATTTAATTTATAAATTATGCATTGGAGGATTGTTGAATTAATTTATAACTAAAGTAAAATTATTCCAACTTTTACAGCTGCTACTACTTGATTTTGAAAATATACACTAGAAAATTACAGTAAAAGTATTTTTTTTCCTCAATATTCCTGCGCTGAATTGGAATTTTCCGAGACACTTTTTTTACAGAAACTGCCTTTTTTTTTCGTTCCCAGTTTGCAGATATTTCAAGAAATCAAGCTGGGAAGGACATGTGGATTTTCTTAACCAGAAGCTCTGTACAAAAAATTAATTTTATTTTACCTTATTATTATTTTAATTTTTTTCTTTTAATGCATTATTATTTTTAATCGCAGGTTTTTTGGAGAAAAAAATGAACGTTTTTTACAGTGAATTTAAGTACAGTCTTCATGAATATTTTGTGGCGGTAATTCATCGTATGAATTTCTGTTATTCATAACGCTAAAAAATAAAATAAGTTTAAAATAGCTTTGCACATTTCAATAAAACTATTTAACACAACGCTTTTCTGTGCTAAATATGCATAGTTCTTTACTTTCATTTTAATGATTTAAGTTCATTGGGTTGAAATGCCATTTTATTTTCATGAAATAATTTTCTATTGCTTTGAACTTAAACTAATCCCACTCTCCCCAAAGCATCTCAGAAGAACTTTACGAAAGTTTGATACTTCTGAACGAAATTTATTTATTACTAGCGCTAATATATTGAAGAATCGGGAATTTTCTGCCTAATTCATGCAAAATTTCGCACTACATAGCGTTTATAGTACTCGATGTCTCATTTATTGCAACTGAAGTTTGCGACCATGTATTAAGTTGCATAATTGTAGATATTGTAAGAGTTAGCAATACTACCCAATAACTCTGTAAGGAGAATAAATCTATAGTTGTCAAAAAGTGTTTGACATAACTTGCAGAAAATCAAAAACGCCGAATAAGGGTCTGAATTAAAGACCAGAACGTCTTTACGCCTAAAAATAGCTTGTTATAAACACATTTTCTGCGAGAAAAATGGATCGTTCCCCTGGGGATCGTTCACATTGTTTTTTGTTGCCATTTGACATTTCCAATAGTTTTCAGCCTATTACAGTCATTTATTGCAATTTTTATTAATTACTGTGTTTTTTCTTCTCTGAGAAAATGCTAAAAACCGTTTACATTTATCTTGTTAATTTTATATTCTTCATCTTCCTTTAACAGCAGAACTTTAAGAGTATTTATGAGCTTTTTTTACTACTAAAAATTTGTATTTCCATATTATGTATGTAGATATATATATAATACAAAACTGCATTGCATTAATAAATAAATTTTTAACATAATTAGATATATGTGGAACAGAAATAAATTACATATAAAATTCATATGTAATTTCAAGTAGAGTTTTGAATATCCATGGCTTTTTAATTATACTTAGATCTCAAAAACCAAATGATCATGTAAGATGCGGAGTTTTATATGTATGTGTATGTGTGAATACATAATAATTCTGTACACTCCTGTATACACATGCATGCGTACAAAAATACATATCCTTTTGAAAGACGCTCCCTAACATTCATGTACATAACCATTCATGTACATACATATGCGTGCATATATTCATTCATGTGAGTGCTTATAAGTAATTATAAATGTGCGATAAGAGAAATATTTACAAAATTAATTCTTGCTTAACAGCATGGAATCGTTTGAAACGTGTTGAAAATTTGTCTAAATTTTAAATATATAACTGCTTTTTAAACGAACTGTCCACATGTATGCATGCAAAAAAAAAAAAAAGTATTTGCATGATGAAATTAAATCTGGAAATAAATTATTTGCACTTAGGAAAAGCTTATAGACATTTTACGTGGGAATGTTATGTAACTGATATTATCAATATGATTAACTACAAATATGATGGAGTGTTTTTTTTTTTTTTTTGTTAAATTGCAAAACATTAATTATTTTAGTATCATGTGAAAAACTTTCATTGTATTGAAAAAACGTTTAATAGCCTTACGAACAAGAAAGAACATAGCATTTTTTACTATCATACGTAACAGCTATATAGCTATCATATGTTACTAGCTAACATAGTATTTTTCAAACTCAAATATCCATCTAAGTTTTAGAATTTATACTTTTCATTATAGACTTTCCTTAATAAATGAATAGATAAATAAAAGATAATTGATTATTTCTGCCCAAAATAAGAGTCTCCTGCAATTTTAATGGTACCGTATAAAGAATTCAAAATTATAATACAGTGTTTTCATTCTTTGTGAAATTCATCAATAGTCTGTAATAAGAAAAGGGAATAACTGGTTCTTTTGGCAGGTTTTGTATCAAATTAAGAAAATCCTTAATAATTTAAGCATTTAGAACTATTTTTCAAAAAACAGGAAAATGCGCTTTTAGCAACGGATAGATTACATTGTTGCTCTAGTAGAAAATCTGACCAAATCGGGAGGGGGGATATAATGAAATAAAATCCAAGTATCGCAGCATAAGAATAAAAAAAGAACATTACAACTGGTACGGCGTTAGATAATGATGATATCAAACCTACTTTGAATACTAATTAATCCTTAAATGAAAAAAAAAAAAAAGTTGGAATTTGTACACATACAAAATTGCGGACAGAACAGGCATATTATTTATTTTTCGACCGTATGCTGCTAAGTTTAATTTTATTGATTATTTTTACTCAATTTATACTCAATTTTGTTTTCAGATTTTGTTCATAAAATTCAAACAAGTAGATTCACAAAAATGTACAAAAAAAAAAAAAAAAAAAAAAAAAAAAATGCTGTTACATGTTATATGGGACATACAATTCAAGCATAAATTCAGATGAAAACGACAGGAGAAACTTCTCATAAAAACTACAATAAAAATATATCATAGTGATAATCAAAGACGCTGGACAATTTAGATGTACATTCTGTAAAAACTCAAAAATCAGCAAGTATCATTTTCGGATACGAAAAGCACGTTCTTTTGATTGCTCCATGCAATCTATTGGAGTGTTAAAAATAAACTCAAGTTTCCTGTATGCGTTAAACTGCAAAGTGCCTGAAATGCTGAAGATCTGATATTCTAATGTTTATTAACCGAATATTTTTCTTTTCCATAAGAGTAAGAAATTACTTTTTAACACATGAAAACCTCCTGCAGATATTATTGCTTTCATTTCTCTCAAATCATGTCCAAGGCCAAAAATGAAGTTTCTGTCAATTCAAGCCGCAAAATATCCTTCATTTAAGTTCTAAATGCATTACAAATTAATGAAAGAAATTTAAGATTTTAAATACAATATGCACTTCTAAACAACAAAATTGTTAGCTTTTACTCAACATGTTTTATTAATACTTGTATAATTAATATAATTAATAAAAAGCGTTTCTCATACCGTTATGTTACGTACCTATTTACAGGACTTTTGTCTGACTGCCCTACGACTGCATCAGCAATAAAATTTAATGTTAATAGAATTAATGTAGCAATTCATGAGGTGCGATTGTATACACGTTTCAGTTTCAATTTTATTTAAGCTATAACGAATTATTTAAAATAGTTTGATACCGTTCGATTAATACAACTTTGGGCTTTAAAATATTTTACAATTAAAGTTCTAACATGGAAATATTTTTTGAGAAGAATAATCAGGAGGTACCTTGTGAGCACCTTTTTTCTCCCTTAATTATATTTCATCTGTTTGGAATGGTCTCGTGAATAAACGTTAGTGTCTTGGATGTTTTTGCTGTTTTCTTCTTTCTTAAAGTGGTTTCATGTATTAGTCCCATATACTGAATTGGTAAATTCTGTATTTCCTCGACCATTTATCCTCGATTTTTGCGGTTACGAAATTTTCTGGGTCACCATGACTCTAAAAGTTTCGGAATATCTGTCAGATGATATTTTGAAGCTCTTAGAGTCGTTGGTCTAGTTTCAAAGATTCAGAGATTAAAGTTTGGTAATGGCATTATTCTTGCCGCGAAACTTGAAAAATTAACGTCTACGGTGATGTTAATTTTTCTTTTTTTTTTTTTTTTCGGGGGGGGGGCGGAATTTATGACTCGAGTTACTCGCCGGTCTAAACTCTATACGATCTCTGACGGAATTTTTATCTACACATTAAGCAATAATTGCATATTGCTCTTAGGAAGCAGTTTAATATAAAAGGAACAACTAATGAGCTCTTCAACGTTTATTAGAATAAACATGGACGCTAGTATCAAAGTACAGGAGTTCACTTTTCCTAGATTCAGAGAGAATTAATGAGGGAAAAATTCATTGATTGGTACAGCAATAATCCTTGTCGGATTTGTTTTGAACTCTTCACCTCAGAATTGAAAAGAATTCAAAGTTTGAGAACTATTTTAGGATCAGAGGTAATATCAGTATAATTTTAGGATCAGAGATTAAGTAAGCTAATAATTAACTGCTTCACATAAATTCTTAATAATCTCAATGATGTCTTTTATTCGCGCCTTAAACTTCATAGGAGACATTAACGGAAGCTACTTTTAACGGTGCTGATAAATGTAGGTGAGCTTCGAATGCATATGTAATGTACAAAAGCATGTTTATGCATGCGTAACATATTACTTCAATGCATCTTGTAGAGTTTTGCGTTTATTAACCAATTATCTTATTATTTTCCTTTTTCTACCACTTCTACTTTCGCCGGCTCCCATCAGGATGGAAATTAGTTAATGTATATAAAAACAGAGTTTCTGGATTTGAAAGAGAGCTTCCGGCAATGTCCGTTA